AAATATAACATAATCATATAAACCTTTTCACATTCAGAACTTATGATTTCATAAACGGAATGAGTATAAAATCAACATTTATCTGAAATAATTAATTTAAATAATTAGATTTGGTGTCACATGCCAAATGCATCAAAAGTTTTTGAGTCTCTTTTTTAGACAAGATTGATTTTACGAATCCCTGGTTGAAAAGTTAGTGAATGTCTACACAGCATCCTATATTGACGTTATTTGTGATTACACAAAATCATGTCATTCGGATTTTCACTTAAAAAATGACAACCAAAAAAGATCAACTTTTGCCATCTTTCAGCTGAGAAGGTAATTAATAAGATGATTCAAGAGCCCAGATGAATGGGGGGGGGGAGGGGGGTTCTATTACGCTGAACTTCCTTCCTAGTGCACTAAAAAGCCAATCACTTGCATTTTCATTCCTACACTTTCAAGTTTTCTCTATTGTTAAAAATGATAAATATATTTATTTTAATAATCTTATAAAACACCTTTGAAGGCCTTGCCATGGGTCCTTGAAAGGACACGAGGAAGGACAATGCTTGAAGAGGTTTTCTTCAATTCGCACAACTTTCTATTGCTGAATATGCAAGCTTGGCACAGGATGAATAAATCAGTTGAAGAGGAACCACATTTGTTTACAATATTTACTTTACTCCTTAGTAATAAAATATTTGCCGTAAATTGAAGTGTGGAAAATTAACTTAAGAAGCATTACTGTAATAAATGTTCTAAATCAAAAGTTTTCTTTATTTTGGATGGATTAACTTATATCTTGTAGTTGACAAGGCCTCTGACATTGAATACTGAAATGTTATTTCAGTAAACCTAGAGATATCTTAAAATGGTGGTGTGGATAATGATATAACTTTATTTGCGAATATCTGAAATATCTTCGCTTATAATTGACAAAATGTGTTGTGAATGATATGAATTCCTCGGATAAAGTTTATTTTGTTCAAAATTTTCAGATCTCGATAATACATATAGGTAAATAACTGCGCCAAGTTATTATAATGCTAATTTAAGGACATTTAAACAAACGATTAATTAATTAGCGACAACTTTAACGCTATGCTGCAACACATAAATATTTGTAAAGCGTTCTTAATTGCTTACGAGTCCTATGTAAAATGAGCACAAGTGAAGCCAGTGGTCATATTTTGTAAAATAGTATGCTTGATTGGAAAGGAAAGCAGCTTTTATTACCTAATTAAATGCTTTGTTTTAATGAGAAGTGGATGAAATGAGATGGGGAGATCTGAGATGCAGTAGTTAGATAAAGATCTGTTATTCTAACTTGTTAAAGATTCCGATCAATAGGTGTTGGGGATGAGAACAGAAAACTCGGATGAGATTTTGAATGAGTTCTTATATGAAAATAGTATTGATAAAGGAGATTTAATGATAGAGTGAGGGGGTGTGCGATAGACTTAACTCCACGTGGTGCACCCTGGGAAACGTATACCCATACGGCAAAAAGTCTATTAACTGGCAGTTGACTCCTCACTTCAAACTACCCTCACCCCATTGTATGTCATATTCAACTACTTTCACAGTACTCACCTCACCTTTTTCCACTTTTGTGTCTGTCTCTTTTACATCTTTGAAACTCTCTTCTGTTTCCCCTCTCCCTCTTGACTTGTTTCACTTTGATGTTCCTTCCCCTCTGTGAAGCCTAAAGTCAACTAAAGGGCTAATGATAACCATCAAGACGCCTGCCATTTGATATAAATAAATAAAATAAATGATAGAGTGAGAGAATTAATTTGAGAGCAGCATAATTACAAATTTAAAATACCGTACCTTGAGGTCTGACAACGGTTTGAGTGCATATAGTGTTTCTATTGGCAGTAAATGCTCATGAAGTTAGGGTCTATAATTTTATCGTATCATCAGTACTATGCACTGAAAGAAATGGGCACGTTTATGGAAAATAAACTAAATGTGAGAATTGACGCCCTACCTTAAAAGGATCAATTTTGTAAAAAATTGTTTTTACATTAAAAAAGATAATCATTGCAAGGCATTGAAAGGTGAATTCAGCAAATCAAAATCGGAAGATTGCGCTAAATAGTGCACTCAAAATTTTTTGACTTTACATATTTTATTGGTGACGATTATAAGTGGAAATGAAATATTGAATAGCCGATCACAATACTATGCCTCTGGAGTTTTGATAACTCCATTCTAACAATCACTTTAAATTTATTTAATTCAAATATGCAAATAAATTCAATACTATCATTTCCCTATATTGAATTGAATTTAAGTAAGAAAATTCGACCTATAGCAGAATTTTTTCTAATGGGAGGCGGTGAAATCGATACTTCGGCGGTTAGGGGTGAGAGAGAGATAGAGAGAGTGAGAGAAGAGCACACGTAATCAGAATGCAACTGGAATAATAAAACCACTTAGTCCCCAGGTAACCAGGTAGCTAGACGTCAGCGCTTTAAGCTTGCAGCTTTTTCTTGCCCTACTAAGCCTTGACTCCACTTCTTCTAGTTTCTTGCCCCTATAAGAAGAACGACAATAATATGGGCGTCAACTCATTTCACTCTCAACCTTTTTCCTCACCTTCTTTCTCCACATCGCATGTGTTCGCCTTGCTTCTTCATCTGGTGTTACCTTCCATTAGTTTTAAAGAGAGTGGAAGGAGGGTGAGAAGTAGGAGGAAGGAAGCGGTCATTTAAACCCCATTTCGACACTCCCATGCCGTGAAAGAATTATAAACGGAAGATTGCACTCCACCACCTCCTCAGAGCTTTTATTAAACCACAAAATAGACTAATTATGGGCAAGTAAATAGTGTAAGGAAATATTAAAAGCATTAATTTTCCAATGCACCCGACCATTTGAGCAGATCGTTAAATTGGGGTTAATGCATCGATTTATATTAGTCCCGTCCAGCTTGAAATCTATTGCCATTTGGTCATTTTCCTTGCCAGCGATTTCAGACAATGACAATTGATAAATTTTAGAAAACCCCATCTGAAAGTAAGACACGATTTCGGCTTTAAACACAAATAAAATATAATTTTTCCCTCTTTGTCTAATGATACAACACTTAATCTCGTGAATTTCTATCAAACGCACAGATAATAAAGCCAACCAATGTACCACAGTATTAGCTAATATCAATGATAGATCCAAGGTACATTCCAAAGGGCACTAAATTGGCTTAGATTCCCTAGCAAAATTATTGAAATAGAAGATTGTTTGAAATGAGTGAATTTTTAGTTGGTTCCAGTCAAATGGGTAGCTGATACATTAAGTATTTACTGGAAACACACTCCAACACAGGCTCTACGTTTACCTACCCCTCGGTCGATATTGTAGCACTTGCTATACCAAAAAGCCTTGATTTATTCTCAGTAATCTTCGCATCAATATTCCACAGACATTCGGTGTTGAAAACGCTTACTTTGGTCCTTTCGTCTGTCAAAGAGCTTAGGCATTAAATACAATGAAAAATATGTTAAACGATGTAGGGACCATAGATCGGTGACTGGTTGGGAGGTCCTTCCGCTCACGACCGCACTTGCTCCCTACAAGAAAAATAATAAGGTCACAGCTTCGAGTCTGACTGGGTGGACATGAGACTTCGTCGTTCATCTGTGTTGGCATTATGCACTCGACAACATAAAAGTGGTTAATGGTTGAAAGAGTTGAACAGCTCATGGGCGTTACTCAGCGTAGTTTTCACTCTGTCTAATATTCACCGTTTCAACCTAATTTGTTCAAATTTCATTTATGGAAAAATGAGACTAATAACTAAAGACATCATTTATTCGCATGCAGTCTAAATTTTGGTCAGATTTGTCGTACTATGAAGTTAATAACGCAACACCTACATACAAAGACAGTTTTTTATTTCTATTTAATTGTCATGAGTTCCCACGTCTTTTAGAATGTTAATCAAACTCCATCGCAATTAAATTAAATACTCAAGTAAGACGGGAGGGGGATAGGGGCTGGGGCTCACTGAGTATCACAAAGTTTTATTCTAAAATTCTGCGATCAAATCACAAAAATGCCCTTCTCTTATAACTAGAGTTCACCATATGAGGTGAGAGAATCTGACAATGCCTTCTCAGGCTTTAATTAATTGCAATCATTGTTTATATCAGTAGATAAACACCAGATATTGCATTATTAGATCTCATAATATTAATATTTATTTACATTTACCATGAATGAGTTCTTGTCCCATCCACCCGTTCGTGGCTTCGAGAAAGCGCATGAAAATTGAGGTGACACTGTTAGTAACGGTGTCAACAGTGCCACGCAAACATTCTCAGCCTTTAACCAAGCATTCGTAACATTAAATTTACACTTTAAGTCATTCTGAAGCAAAGAAAGCTTCGAGGCAAATTCATAGCTTATTGGAATTGTCTATTGAAACCTTTTGTCCTGCCCATGGCAAAAGATGGAATTTACCAAGCGAAGTCAATATAAAATTACACGTCTTCGCATCTCGCTAGAAATCATTTAATTAGATTGGTCATAAACACATTATTAATCATTTAACTTGATCCAAGGTGGACTCTAATTTATTATCCTCTGTACCTTCTTCTTTAAAACGGGAACCCAAGAGAAAAATTACTATCCGCCAAATAGCCCCCCCCCCTCCAAAGTGCATTGTAATACGGCTCCCGAAAATTACAAACCCTCCACTTTTATCTGTTTCACCTTTACACTTTCGGGAGATTAGAACTGGCAGTTTATCGCTTCTCTTGTGCTATAACAAGTGTATATGATACGTACACCCGCTTAGAAAAGACATTGCAAATGCAAAAGAACATATTAAGTCTATAATATACACTGTAATTTAACGATACATAAAATAAATTGTAAGGAAATGAGTAAGATGTGTAGCGGCTAAAGGATAAGGGAAGGGGAAAAGGAAGGGAGGGGGGGAGGGGGGGGAGGCAAAAAGCAAATAAAATGATTTCGAATAAGAGACTTTCAGTTCAATTTTGGTTTTTTTAGGAGTTCGAAGAATGGGCAGCTGGAGGTTCCTTCAAAGGTTTAGTATCTTGAATAGTTTGTGAAATCATGGACATAAAGTGCTCAATAAGATCTACTTGAATTGGCATCCATACGTAGTTTCCATTTCCTGAAGTTCCACTTGCTGAGTTTTGGCTTTCACTACTCGAAGATGGACACTGGGATGATTCCCTTGAAATATTTGTGTCAGTTTCCATAGCTTCAAAACCGGATTTTGGAACATCAAATGGTCGGAAGATTGTATCACCTGGAGTATTATTAGAAGTTGATAGGTCAGAATGAGGAGTAGGGGGATGCTGAACTTTTCTCTCTTCATTTGCACCCCATGTTGAGAATCGTTTAATCTCTTCGGTAAATCTATTCATATTGATCATGTGTCGTTGTAGATGTAAGGCGGACCTCTGATCGAAAGCTCCAAGCTGAGCTATCGAGTGATTTTCAAGAGTGCCACTCGGAGGCCAACAGTCCATTGATTGGGGTCTCCGGAAACCTTGATTTCCCCAGCTGCTGAAATTTACCGCCCGATTCTCGCCGATTTTGTGTGATAGTACAGAATTATGACAACTGCAATTGCAATCTGGTGAACAGGAACGCCTCGCCTGTCGACTATGAGGTAGAAAATCAAGAGGTGACCCCTTACAGGAGTGCAAGTCCATTGCTTCAGACATATTCTCATCGGTGTGACGGGATAAATGCAGGGGATCATGGTTCTTGGGGAGATGAGAATAGAGTTTTGAAAAATCGCAAGCAGGACTGGATAATGCAGGATGGAAGGAAGAGGAGATGTTTGATGGGGCACTTGATACGCTATAATCGAATGACTGGTTAAGATTTGCAGGGAATGTTCGTTCAAAAGCACTTCGACTCGACCGAGAGACATTATGATTTATAGAATGCTGTTGTTGCAAAGCCATGAATGACTCAGTTTGTTTTCGAAAGGCTGAATAACCACTAAAAGCGCTCTCTGGTTCCATACCTAGAGCGGGTTTATTTGTAGCCGACTGGCGTCTTTGGTGTTTAGCGTGGTCTGAATCCGTGAGTGAATTTTCTACGCTCATTTGACGAGTTGGATTACACAAGCCTTGCAAGCCGATAAACTGGTAGACGAACTTGTGACCCTGGACCTTTCTAATAATATCCTTTTGATAGTAATAGCGCAGGGCTCGGGAAAGCTTGTCATAGTTCATTCGATGGTTATTGTCCTTCCGGAGACCCCATAGTCGAGCCACTTCCTCGGCTTTAAGCAGAACAAACTCTCCAGCATTATTTGTCCATCGGATAATTTCTGAATACCTCGGATCCATAAGGAGTTGAAGAAGGAATTGCCATAGCGTAACCTTGCTTTTTGTGGTGTCGATTTCCAGCTGTAAATTCAAATGAAATAAAATCTTATTCAAAAGACAAAGTGGAGAAAATTTACCAAAGCAGTGAAAGATGTTCTAGTAAGTGGCCACATATGCACAAAATATGCACAATTAAGAAAAAAATAATTCAATAAACGAGCTATACAAAGGTCATGGAATATTCCATGCCTCAAGTCATTCTTACTATATCCAAGCACAAATCAGTCCCGACATTCTGCCTGCTTGAACACCAACTAAATCAAATGCTCCACCTAAGGAGATAAGAAGAATGTGCCTTTTTTTTAAAGCCTCTAGAACAGCTGAGTATTCCACAAGGTACAAATCCTGGAAATTCTTTGATCATTTAATAAAATTCGACCTGATCCTTGTTTTTTTGGAGTTCAGAGCGATGAACATTCGTAGATAATAAAAGTAGACAACCCAAGTAAATTGGTCTTGCTGAACCCATTTCTAACGACAATGGGACGATTTCAAATATAGCTACGTAGAATACAGGAGGGTCAACACAAAGGCCTGCGCTCTTTTCTCGCCACGGTGTCAGTGGTTGGTCTCATTTGTATCTCAAATCGAAGGCACCTACAAGGGTTTCCTATCCAATCCTGATTGATTCCAATATGAAGTGATCTGGGCTAAGGTTAATGTATCCAGAAATGTCACCAGGTTCTCTTCTCCCCTGAAAAAATCTTTCATTTTTTTAAGTTTAAGATAAGACCTAGCTCTAAAGTGCACCCACATTCTAGTTGAGTTTTGGAAACTATTGATTTTTCGTGTAGATTAATCGGGTTACAGCTGCTGCCGTAACAGAGAATTCACAATGTTACAAAAACAGTGGACTGCCGCATATATTATGAAATGAATTTATTTTAAAAGTAAGCACTTGTGAATACACAATATCAGATCTTCGTTGATTGAAAATGATCTATTACAGTTCTCTTGATGTGACGAACATTGAAATAAATTATTTTATAATTGCTGAATGAACACGGATGGATATAAGATCGCTTTTCTGTCCAAGTAAGAGATTATTGCGATAATAATCACCATGCATTTCATTTCATTGGCATAAAAAGTATAGTAGAGTGTGTAAAATCAAAATTGGTTAACTTCCACTTAGTGCTTACAGAATTTAGGCACTGATGATACAATTATCAAATTAAAAATAGAAGGATATGGCTTCTTTTCTAATTACTTAATTTTAACGTCGTAGTGAGAGAGAGAGAGAGAGAGAGAGAGGGTGATGGAGGGAAATTAGTGAGTTGAATCGGTGGGTGGGCACAGGAAATGCGAAGCAAATTAAGTTGAAATGCAAAAGAATAAAATGCCGAAAAAGATGAGTTGAGGCTACGTAGGGGCGGGGGGGGGGGGGGGGGGGGGGGGGGTTTGGGCAGNGGGGGGGGTGGGGGGTGGGAGTTTGAGCAGTCCCTATTAAGTTTGCCGCCACCAATCGAGTTTTACTTGGTGGTGGTCTGCGCTCCCCTTTAACTCTCTAAATGGCGTAAGCAGACTTTAAGGAAACTTAGTAGAGTATACGGAGAATTAATAAGAGAGATCAAACCAACCAGAAATAATGAAATCCTCAATACGTAGGCATTATTTAAAGAAATTTAAAACTAAATTAAAATTAAAAAAAATTCTCACTAAGAGACCTTAATGTAGTTGAAGACGCTTTCTTCCAATAAAGAATACCTTAACAAGGCCTCCTTTCAAAATTGAATTTTCCCTTAAAATGTACATGGTGATTAATAAGTAATTTTCTATAACGGTCTCTATACGTTTTAAATTTTTAAGAATACTCCAGATTATCAAAGTTCAGAGAGTGGTGGCTTGAATATAGAAAAAAAATTATAAATCATGGAAGTACCTAATCAAATCAATGTAAAGTTTGTTTTATTTAAACTGAAGATCATTTGCTTCAAAATGGAAGCCCGAAGGGCTTCAAAGACTATATTTTACTAATCGTCAGTAAACGGAAATTCAAAGAAAAATTTTTATGAAAAAAAGGACAATTAAATTCAAATACATTGTTAGCAAAATAAACACCGTTTATAGCCAGCATCTACAGTACTAACTTGGAACACAATCTGCGATAATCGAATGTATGCAAGAACAAAGACATGCCCCGTAAACGCCTCAATTCACAACAAATACCTATAAAATTACCTCAATAAACAAAACCAGTTTTCTAGATTTCTGTATGGGATAAACTAAATACCAGAATTAATAAATGATTATTTGAACCAACTTCAGCTCTCACTGCTGAGATCCCCGCCTCTGAATCCGTTCATAGAGCATATATAAATGAGTAATTTTTCAGGCTTTTTCAAAGGGATTTGAATTGTGGTCGGGAAAGTTTGACCTGGTGGTTTACTCTCCACCTGCCTTCGCTTAAAAATACGTGAATTCCGACTATAAGTGAATACTTGGTATAATTATCGGTTTAAAATATTATAATAACAAGCAGCTGCGTTTGCCATCCAAGAGCCTGATTTCAACCCTGACTTGGAGTCTCAGAAAATGAAGTTGTGCGAGGCTTAATTAGAGCAGAAATAAATCCACAAAATATTTCCTCCAAATGCGTCTAATTACGCATGCAAAGACCGACTTACTTTGTTCCCCACTGTCGTTTTTACAGGTATTGTTAGAAAGGGAACTGAGGTGTTGGCACGGGAGTGGGGTGGGGAGGGGGGGGGGGGGGGAGGGATCGGATAATGCCCAGTGTCTTCTAAAACATGAATATGGTTTACGATACTACGTCGGGTGACGCCAGGTACATTGGAGAGAGAGTCGAAGAATTTCCCCTGCAAAATGTATCCGCAGATGAATTATTCAGACGCTAGAGTGCCACTGCTGAAGGCGTTGGAAAGAAAGGGAATGGAGGGGTAGGAATGAGAAGTGAGATTGGTTTGGACTAACTCTTGACCGCTAATTAGAAATTCCTTTGTTTGTCATGAATGCGCACCTTGCTAAATCTCACCCTTCCTCTAACATCCTCCCCATCCCCCCTTTTTACGCACCCCAACTCAGCTAAGCTTTTAGAAGGCAGACTCAAGTAACACAGAAACGCACGCCTTAAAGGGACGTCCGATTTTGCGTATATCCTCTCATGCTTTGGTCTGCCTAGACCAGTTCAGTGTCGGCGCGGTATGTAATTACAGATTGGGAGTCATTTCACCACTGCATGAAAATCATCAACCCTCAATTTGACAAAGTCATGGGTTTAATTACTTTTCAACTCTACCTTTCTCTTCCCTCTTCCTAAGATTCCACATGGTAATGAATTAATGGTCTAGAGTGTCGAGAAGACCATGCTACCATCTTTGCGGCTGACTGCTTACTGCTAAATATTGTATTGTGTTCGTTCCTTCCCTTTTATAGCTCTCCCTTTACGCACTTCCGTTAACGCCCTTTCCCGTCCATGCTCTCGTGTTGATGAGTATTTTTTAGTCAATGCTTTGTGTTCATTTTGCAAAGCCTTTAATAGCAATGTGTATCCACCCTACCAACCAACCCAAGATTCATCTAGCCCATTTATTCACTGGAAATATTGTTTTAGGCGATAATGCCCTCTATGTGTAACCTCTCCCCTCCCTCTACTTCGCAACGAAATGAAGAAAATCAACTTAAACGCACGCAGGATAATTCAATAATTTTGAACTTGTGTCCAAATTCCGGTACACTCCATTAACCCAAGAAAAAAATCGATAGCAAAGGAAATTTTCAGGCTAGCTCTCCCAAGTAAATACTCTTATGATTAACTGGAAGTGAAATTTTAATGCCAAAATTTGCCATTAAACAGTCAAATTACAAAACAAATCGATGGGAAATTCGAATGATAAAAGTATTTAACATTAACTTCTTTCTATCGATATGATAAACACGAGCTTTTGAAAACCGATTATTAATAAAATATATCTTACATCGTCAACTTCAGGAGTATCTGGCGAACCATAGTAGCCTCGACAAGAAAGGTCATCGGCTGTATTGTTACTAGGACTAACAGAAGACTGTATAGATTGTGGAGATTTGAAAGCGCTTGGTAGGCCAGAGCTTGAGATGTTGACAGGTGAAGTAGAGAAACCTTCTGACACAGATTTTCTTGGTGACTTTGGGCGAAAATCTGAACAATCAGTTGCTATATCTAGGTCCTGGTTATGTTGCTGAGATTGTCCTTCTTGGGATGATTGTTGGGATGCCTGTTGCTGGCAGTCAGATTCGGGGTATTCCGGTGAAAGCTCAGCCTTTACAGTTGATGGTATTAGCATGGAAGCTATAGACATAACTGGGGACGGAACTGATGAAAGTATAAAGAGACTGAGGTGTGGGTGTCAGAAGCACCAACAAGCGCCACTCTACAAGTTCTGATGAACGTAGACTTGGAAGTGCGCTTATATATTGTTGACTTAATGTGCTCACGTTTGAGCACAATTAGGGATGACAATTGCGCGCGACTAGCCGCTTATAATACTGTGATGTCGGTTAAGCTGACTGTAGTGGGGTTAGGGGTTATCGTGGTTGAGAGTGTGCGTGTATATCCCTGGCGTGCGTAAGTGAGCGCGTAAATCACTTTTGCGCATCCATAAGTTGAGTGCGAGCAAGCACCTGCGCACATTGAGCTTGCAGTTACGCTATGGGAACGAATAACAGAATGCCTTTTCTGATAGGTTGACTTACAATTTTGGGAACCACTAGCAAAATTAGCCCGACCGCAAACATTCACAAGTGTCAAAACAGTCCCCCCCCCTAATTTGGTGCCTTATTTCCAAAATTTTGCAAATGTTAATATCCTTTCCATAGTATAAGGATTTGATTAATGGAACTATTTTTATGTCTGGAATAAACATAATTTTTGGCAGAAAAGCGGACACTTTATTCCTCTAACGGCAATTTTAACAGATCGATCATATAAAATGGTAATTGCCATTCTTTTTGCAAAATTTTTATGTCCTCCTATTGTTTAGGACACTGGGACTAAAGTGATATCTGATTTTAACATTCCAAATTCCACCCATCTCGCATAATTAAAAAATGTGCAGATATGATGTAAAAATAATTGGAATTTGAACGCAATACCCGATATAAACAATATTTTGTTAGATGGTTATATGGTTAAAAAGGTCATTTTGTTGTCGAAGAAAAACTAGACAACACTAAGACCATCAATTGCTACCTTTTAAATCGTATACAATTCCAATTAAATGAAATATTGGTCATCGAAGTGTGTCTAGTTCTGTTCACACTTTAGTAGATATTTGTATAAATACATTATTCTTCTTAACTGTAATTGGACATATAATGATTTGAATATATAAGTATTTAAAAGTTAAAATTATTTATTAAGTTAATTAAAATTCTTCGAGTATAAAATAAAGCTTTGATATTTGTATTATTTTACATTTAATACCCAATACTGATCATTTCATTAATGATGTAGATTCGTATTGTGAATTATCTAATGCGCTCTTAAATCCGGTTCAGTGGCCTCCCAAATAAAATGATCTGAGCAAGTTCTTCCGATTCCTTTTTCTCTTACTATTTGACAGAAAAAAGCAATTATTCTTCCCATTCCGTCTGTATTTGAATTGCAATTGGGCGGTAAAACTTTCAATCGACTATTGATCGGTATGGCGCGACAAGGCTTCAATTACAGTGTCACCAATGTGCCTTCCAACAGTATAGGTCACATGAATCCGAAATTCGATAGGGTATATCAAGGTGTTTGATTAGTTCACCACTTAGGTCAATCATAAGTGCAAATTCCTCTAAAGAGGAATTTAGGCTATTTGACATCTATGGAAAATGTGAGCATGTAACTGATCTTTTAATTGGACACTGAAATCTGCCACCAAGAATCCAGCAAAAATCACCCAAATCCAGCAAGCCTACTCGTTATCAATGGCTATTTGATATAATCAGATTGAATAAAACGCATCTAGAATTAATAAAAACCCATGGGAACAAAATCACATTTCCTGTTTTCATCATTTCCGATGTAACATCGGAATTGAATTCCGGTGGCTAGTGTTATCAACCTTAGCATTAATAAATTATATAAAGAACTGAAATTTAATAGAACGTAAATTGTGTTCTTGATGAATTAGTCAAAAGGTGTTTTCTAATGTATAAATATTTGTCCCACCAGCCAAATAGACAAAAAAGGCTTTGGTTCAAATTACTTTTTTATTACATTTTATAATTCTCTTACGGGGTGCGCGATAGACTTACCTCCTCGTGGTGCACCCTGGACAACGTATGTTCTTACGGCAAAAAAGTCTATCAATCGGCATTCGTTTTTGACTTCGATTAATTATGATTAGCTTTAAAAAAGGCTATAAGAAAAATCGCCCTCGTCAGGGCGAATCACAACGTCTTCAGATCCTCCAGTGGAATGCTGGAGGAATGTCTCCGGACAAAAAGATCCAAGTACAGAAAATCCTACAAACCTATGAGGTAGACATTTCCACAATTACGGAAGCAAACATTTCGGATGACAAACTGAAGTACTACCAATTCCCAGGTTGCACTCTGTAAAATCTACCTAAATACCGGCAAGTTGCAAGTGGAATTCTAACTGGAGTAAAAGATGGCCTCACCTCACACTAAGATCTAATCAAGAGTATGGGCTCGACACAAGACATATGTGAAATAATCAGATTAAATGTTTGGAAATGTCAAAACCACTTCAAGGTATATGCAGTCTATAATCCACCCCAGAATTTTCCCAACTTTGACTTTCTGAACATCTCACGCAAAACTGTAGCATTAGGAGACTTCAACGCCCATCCCCCTACCAGATGGGGCTACAAGGATACAAACATAGCTGGAAAGGAAATCGAAGACATGCTAAAGAGCAACCCTCTGGAACTTATTTACAGCAATG